AAAAAAAGCTGAAAATTATATAATTCATGTGAAAATTTAAGGTGTATGAACAATACCAAATATTGTTTTAGATACATACATTTGTAATAACATTATAAAAGCATAGTTGGGAAGTAATTCACCATCTTCATAAGAGCGGTTGTCTATGTAGAAAGGAGTAGGGGAAATAGATGGAGGAAGGGTAGATACACTGTGAAATTCTTTTGTGTTGGTGGTGTTTATTCTTAAAGAAAAGGTTGTGGAGGAAATATAGGAAGATGTGGATGCTTGTTGAATCTGGATGGTAGTTGCATGGGTGTTTGTTTCAGAGTATTTCATTTCCTTATTCATTTTAAACATTGAATTGCAAAGCGGTTGGTAGGAGTAGAGTAGTAACTGGACAGAGTTAACAATTAGTTCATCTATGTGTTCACCTGGCCAATTGGAATTTTAATTTTAGTGAATATACCATGTGAATAAGATTGCTGTGAGGGGAGTTGACTCAAATGATCTGCCTAGTGCTACTTAGAGAGTCTCCATTGTTTGCTCCTTGGCTTTGATGTAATTTAACACTCAGTGGCTTCCCTTTACCTGACTTCCCTTTGATGGCTCTGATATATAATAATCAGAAATGTGTCACCAAAAAAGGCATCTAAATAGAAGCAGGTCATTATTAATCAGTTTGTATAATTAATAAGCTAAAAGGTTTAAACCAATAATAAATAAAAAGAACTTATTTAAACCAGTATTGTATTATTGGATGTAAATATCTAAAATGAATTCTCTCATTTCATAGCCGACTTGTGGCGCGTGATTTTTTTTTTCCTGGCAGTTTAGTTTGGGATTGTGGGAAGAGCTCTTACTGTCCAGGCTTGTCCATCTGTGCCCCGTTACCTACCTAAACTCTCAAAGTATATTATCATATGGTTCAGCATCTTTATCAGAGATTATGCACATGCTATTATAGTACATAGTGTTTTTTTAGAGTTCTCTGTACCTTTACTTGGAAAATATATTGTCATACAAGTGGTCATCAACATGAAATATTTAATTTGATAATACAATTATTTGTCTGTGTGCTACTATAAGTGAATTAACTATATAGGCTTAACAATCTACCGCTCTTCTATGTACTACTTTTATTTTATAGTAAGATGTTTAAAGTTTAGATAAAATAGGTATAAATCAGAAAATTCTCACTATTGTCCATGAGTTTAAAAAAAATTAAAATACCAAGGATTTAAATTTCATATCTTTGAAATGATATGTTTTTTTTCCTCTACTAATTACAACTCCTCAGAAAGGAAAAGAAGAATTGAAACAGTGTATCTGGTAGTTGACACAGTGTAATTGAAATGAATTGGAAGGAAACTTATTTTTCAGGAGCAAGGAAAACAGTTCCCCAAGGGGAACAGGAAAGTAAATATTAGGAAAGTACATTTTTATTTTAGGATCAGAGCAATTTAAAATGCATACATGCTGGTTTCCTGGGTGAGGAGGGGCCGAGGGAAGAGAAATGTATCTTTAAAATTCCAATCAGATATTTATTTTTAATAATTTAACCTTTTTTGACAGGTTTAGATCCTGATAAGCATCTTGGAAAAACCCTGGATCAGATGCAGCCTTATCTCTTAGAGGTAAAACTTTATAGTACGTGTTTCTCAGAATATAGGCATCTGAAGGGTGGAAAAATAGTGCCGGGTTAGGATAATTATAAAATCAATTTTATTCTAGAAAAACTCAGATACATTCATGATATATTTTTATGAAAAATGTAAACTTCTAATGAGTATGAAAATCTCTGACATTAATTATGAAAATTGTTACAAGCTTGTTGACCTGAATAAAAGAGTGAGTAAGCTATACCTAAAAGGAAGGTGCCCTGTCAGGAAGTTTGCTTTTATTATAACGACATTCTATGCTATACAAAAAGCCCTACACTCTAAAGTATTGGATAGTCTTCATGATTAGCTATTTTTTCATCAAAAATGTGAGTGGAAACTTCCTTAGAGATTGTTTGATCAACTTCTTCTCTTTTATCAATTAGGAAATTACTTTGCAGAGTAGTAAAGAAATTATCCAAAGAGTTCAAGTTATAATTGTTTAGCCCTATCATGATCAAATTCTAAATGTGTTCTAAACATTAAAGAAAAATTCAGTTATTTTCTCTCTTTTCTATTAACTGTGTTGGGTTTTACTAGAGTTTTGGGGCAAATGTTATGAATAGTATATCAGTGTTTCATGAACTAGGATAGTATAATTATTTGAGTTGTTTATTCCACAATCATGATAAAAGAAATAAAATCACCCTACTCCTATGAAAAAACTGATCTCTTTTAATAAATTATCATTTTCCCCTCCTAGGCTCTTAGTTCATCAACATTGTCTCTAGACATTGTTTAATACTCATTACCATTGCTATGATATGAACTGTCAGCAGTTACACTCTTCGCTAACTTTATGGGTTGCACATTTTCTTTCAGAGTTATTTGTATTTTATTATTTTATGGTTTATCAATATGTACCAAATGCTTAGAAATCCCTAAAATGTTAATTCCTTCTTTCACTAAACATTTTTAAGCACCTCGTATGTGCCAGACAAATAGTAAAGATTAAAATAAAAATGAAATGATAATATAATCAAATTATATCTGATTTCTAAATAATTTGGTATCATTTGTTTAAGTCTGTCATATGGACATGGTTGCTTTCCATGCCCCTCCGATAGGACTGTTCTTATAGCAATTTGTTCTGTGGCCAGCGTTATATCTATATTCATATCTATTATTCCCTGTGGTCAGATTAAATTTCACTTCTGCCAAAACAATGTAGGTAAATAATGAAATTTTGTTTAGAAGGATAAAAGAAAGAGAACTTGAAAAATGAGAAACTATACCTTTGGCAAAGAGGTTTTTTTAAACTGCTTCTTAAATTTGAAGTTACAAGTTCAGATTTCAAGCATGTAGAGTTTCTTTGTAGAAAAAGCAAGTACGGTTTTGGAACTGCCAACGTATTGATTATGAATTAAGCTGAGTATTATCATAACATGTTTAAACACACAAATGCAGAAATCATTTTACTCAACTTAAGTTCCTCAACATGACCTGGCAATTTTATATTTCTCTAGAAAAAATCTCTACCCATTCTTCATAATGGCTGTTTCATTCCTTCTCTATGCTCCTCAAATTTCAAATTCCTTCACCTTTCCCCTCACTTTGGGTGGATGAGCTGTCCTTCACAGATAAAATAGAAGCCATCATAGGGGAAATCCCTCTGTCTGGAGTACCACCTCTACCAATTCACCTTTGACCACACCGATCCTTGCTTCCTGTAATGGGGATGGGGATGTGTGTCCCTCATCCTGTGTGTGGTTAACCCCCTACCTATGCTCTGGATCCATCTACACCTGTCTTCTTAGAGACCCTGCAGTCCACCTACCCCGTTCACTATCTTCATCCTTTCTTTCTTTGTTGTCTTCTTCACATCAGTATTGAAGGAAGCATGCCACCACCTCTCCCATCCTGAAGATTTTTTTCTCTAGGTTATTTGTCTAGCCACTTCTTCTTGCTTCAAAACCAAAAAATTTCAGAAGTGTTTTCTATATTCATAGTCAGCATTTCTTCATATTGCAAATGCCTCCTAGTCTGGCATCTGGCTTCTCCTTCCACCTCTAAATGGACTTCCCAGTAGACACTTCTTAGTCCTTATTTGACAGTTATAAACACCCTTCTTGAAATGCTTCTTTTGGCATTCATGCATGATGCCACAATTTCCCAGTTTTTCTCTTTTTGTTCTAGTCACCCTTAGTTTGGTTTGCCAGTTCCTAGTCCCAGCTCAATTTTCACTCTACAAACTTTTCCTGGGTGATCTCAATCACCCACAAGGCTCCAATTACCATATCTATTCTGATGACTCCCCAATCTTTCTACCACACCATTCTGCTAAGCTCCAGTGCCCAAAGGCACCACAAATCAATTCTCTGCAAACTTGAGTGGGGCCTCTGTATCCATCATTTTTTGCTATTCCCTTTGTCATCACCTTAATTCAGGTGTCTGTCACTTCAGGTCTAATGTATTACTGACACCTTCAAATTCCATTTTATTTTCTAAATAATTAATTTTGCTTACTGCCTCAAGTTAATTATTTTAATATAATCACTGTAATTGTGTCACTCTCTCTCTTCAAAACTATAAGTGAGTTCCCATTGCCTACAGGCTAAAATCCAAATTCTTTAGACTGCTCTTTCCATCACCTACTATGTCCAACCCATTAACATGATCTTATGTGCTCAATCTCCAGTATATATTCTAAATCCATGCCCTTCTCACTGTCTCTGCTGCCACCACTACACTATAATCACCTCTTGTCTGGACTACTTCATCAAACCCTAATTGGTCTGCTTACTTACTTCCACCATTGCCCTGCTATGATCCATTATTCATACAGATGCCAGAGTGATTTTTTTCTAAGTGTAAATCAAATCATGTCACTACTTTGCTTAAAATTTAAATGGTTTCTTATTGCAATTTAGAATAACACCTAAACTCCTATGAGATCACAACCGATGAGATCCTCTATGATCAGCATCCTATCAATCTCTTCAGGCTCGTTTTCTACCAGCCTCTGTGTCACTCGCTGAGCCATAGCCACGTAGGCTTCTTCGTTACTTACACACACCTCATTCATCCTGTTTCTCCTTAGGACTTTGCTCTGCCTGAAGTGATTTTTCCTCAGACCATCCCATAGTTAATGCTTTTTTATAATTTAAGTGACAGCTCAAATGCTCCTTCCTTAGAAATGCTCCCCTTGACCACACTAGTTAATGCTGATCTCTCTGAAGAATCTTATCTGTTTACATGTATATTGTGGGATGTGAGGGCGATCTGGCTGCAACATCTGTCACCCCATTGATCGCCAGGGTTGATTCGGCTGATCTGGCTGGCTAGGCGGGTGTTGCCTTCCTCCCTCACCGCTCCATGTGTGTCCCTCCTGAAGTTGTGCGCTTGGTCGAAGAGGATGACCTTCCCCGATAGAGGAGAGGACTGTTCTTCAGTCAAGGGTATACGAGTAGCTGTGCTCCCTACTTGACCCTCCATACTTGTATATTGTGTGTCACTGTCTTCCCCACCCCACTAGAATGTAAGCACCAATAATCTTGCCAAGATTTTGGCAAAGTTTAGTTCTTTAGTTCTTCCATTCAGTTGTTTGTTCATCCAAGACCATTCATCACTCTCATCTTTAAATTATTTAACATTTATTAAGGACTTGTTATGCGATAGATACCGCCATGGTGAGTGCTAAGTGTATATGAATTAAACAAACTAGATCAGTGCTCTGTAAGAGTTTACCATCTGCCATATTTGTTTTCAGACCTGAGGGTGCAGTTTACTGAGGACCTTGTTAAAAATGCATATACTCTTTTCCCACTCCAAGGAATTTCAGTTCCGAAGAACCAGGAATTTGATCTTTAAACAAGCACTAGTAAATTCTAACACGGTAATCAAGGATATCACCTTCTATTTCCTCAATACCAACAACACACTTGAGGCCCTGTCTTTCTAGCTACCTCTGAAAGAGTGTGCGCCTTCTTGAAATTCTCATCCATTGGCTTCTATGATCCCACTCACTGCTGAAACCTTCCTGAGTACTTTCTTAGCTTCTTTTGGGGGTTTACCATTTATATGGCACCCCTTATATGTTGTGGTTCCATACACCTTCCTCCTGTGGTGATGTTGAATACCCCCATGATTTCAATTACCAACTGTATTCTTGTGACAATGAAGTCGGCGCTTCCATCATGCCTGTATGCTCCAGACATACCTCCAGCACCTCAGCCTTAGCTATGCAGAGCTGAACAGTTCTTTCTTTACAGTGAAGGGTCCCATTGTCTACTCAGTTGCCTTAGCCAAAAAAGTGAATTGTAAAAAATGATATATATTCCATTTTTCGTAAATAAGACCCCAAGTTCTTTTGAATTCTACTTTCTTAATATCTTATTATCTGTCCCTTTTAATCCTCATTGTCGCTATATTAGGGTCTGCCCTAGATTATTGCAGCATTCTTATAGCCCAACTCTGTCTCCTCCCTGACTTACCCCTTGTCAATCCACTGTCCACAGTACTCTACTATAGTACTATAGTGTCATCATACTATATCTGAAATGCAAATCTGATCACATTACACTTTCCTTATATGAACTTTGGGGTTCCTCCTCATTGCCTCAAAATAAAATTTAAACTTCTTAACATGACACAGTCTGCCCTTGGGGAAAATGAGGCTTGTAAGTAAGACAAATGGTCTCCTATATCCAGCCTACCCTTCATCAATTTAGAACTATTGATGGGTTTCCCCAGAATGAATACCCCACATACCTCCATGTTTCACTTCCCTTCTCTGCATGCTTTATCTCTCCTTCACCGACTAAATCCAATCTGTCCTTAAAGTCTAAACTCTGGGTTTAATACTGTGAGGTTTTCTTGTTTAGTAAGCCTCCATGGAGCTGCCATTTACTTTTTTGCCTCCTAGAATGTAACACTTCTCATGGTGTAGTTTATTTTTCTCTTAAATAATGTTTTTTAGTAAAATTAAGGCATGTAATATGTAAAAGTGAATTCAAACACTATAAAATCATGAAAAA